GTGTGCCACGGCTCTAATAGGACCATTCGCTCCAGTATGTTATAGAACTCTCTGTTTAAAACTGTCTCCGGTAGTCGAAACAAACGCCGCGAGCATAATATTATATAACTAGTATGTTCACTCTCATTTGTTTCGTATTGCGTCAATCCCTTCTGTGTATCTCATTTTGTTGAATATTGTATATGTCGTTGACCACTACACATACAACTACAGTACCATGGATCTAGTTTACATCGTACACTTGATTCGCGTATCAAAAGGCTTGTTTTCTGTTGCTGCACTGGTGAACTAGTGCAGTAAACTAGAATGAGAAAAATATACTTGTCTTAAGGCCTATGTCCACGATGCTAGAACTTGATCCAAGTTCTAGTTCCGAGAAACGTGTGGCCAATCAACTCGCAGCTATTCCATAAAAGCTGCAAGTTGATTGGCTATACATTTCTCGGAACTAGAGCTTGGATCAAATACTAGCATCGTGGACACAGGCCTTAATACTAATTTATTGCACTAGTTCACCACTGTAGCAACAGGAAACAAGCGTAAATAGTAACAAATAGTAAATAACTAGTAAAGCGGTTTAATCATTGGCTGATCAATTCAAATACGCTATTTGACACGCGTATCAAGTGTACGATGTAAACTAAGCCTAGGCCGCGAGTATATTTCAAGAGTCACCGAAACGAAGGGTGGGAGGAAACATTGCGTACGCTCACATCCGCGAATACCACGCGGGCCAATGGCTGCGCTCGGCAGATAAAGCAGCCTCGCAACAGTTGTAAAATTCGCGAATCCGATTGGCGTATGTGCACTCTTAAATTCAGTCGAGATCAAGAGAATACGCCAATCAGATTCACGAACTTCACAACAGTTGTAAAGCGACTTTTTCTGCCGCAGCCAATGAGAGGCAAACTCGAACGGAGCCGCGATACATCGATATAAATCGAAGACGGAACGCATCGCTGTTTTTCCGGTCGCGCTTCTCGTTCTCGAACGAGCGGAATCTTATGCGCCAAGTTATCGGCGAACGGCGATCTCGCGGAGAGGAGCCTGTTTCTCGGCCGCTCCTACCGGCGAGTTTCCAAACGTCGCTAACGAGCGCACGCAGACGGAGTCGCTCCGAATCCCGCTGATCAATGTCAGCTCTCTATCTCTATCTCTCTCTCTCTGTTCCAGGACTCGCAACGAATCCGAAACCCGGCCAACCGTGTTATTAAACGCGAGGAAAGAAAAAAAAAGAGAGAAGAAAACTCCCTCTCGCCGCTCGCGGCGTCATTCGCGCTCTTTAACCTCCAAGCCGCGAAATTGTCGCTCCACGCATGTTTCATGCGCACAAGCGGAGCGTGCGTCCGGGTGCTGAGGTACCGACAATCGAGGTCAGCCAGGCGTCAAACCGCTGCTGCCGCGAGTGTTACGTGCGTGCGGCTCTCGTGTCACTCGGCCCCACTTTGAATGACAATTCGGCCACTGCTCGCAATCCGAAATTTCGACCGTTAAATCGCGCTCGATGTCGTAACAGGCCGATGGCGGGGAAACCGACGGAGAGTGACGGAGTAAAAATGCACAGTCAAACTCCTCGCCATTGAGCTGCGACGCACGCGGACGCGAATAGGAAGCGGACGTTTCGCATCTGGCGAATGCTACTTAAAAAAATTAATAAAAAGAGACGCGATCCCGCACGGGGTTCCGAAATCAAGTTGGGAGCGCGCATGCAAGGGACACTGGGACGATACGAGAGATCGCACCGGCGTAAAAGAGAAAAAGAGCCGTTTAAGATCGATAAAACATCCGTCGGACGTTCTCGTCAGTCGAAGCCCCGCGTATTTCGCGCAACGACCGAAGGTTGAGCGAAAACTTCGCAAGGCGTCGCAAAAATGTCCGCCCCCGTCCCCCCCCCCCCTGTCCGCGAATCGACGCTCTATCGTCCGGCCGAGTCGCCCGGACGATTTGCGAGGGACATGCGAGATAAAAATGCGCACGTTCGAGAGCGCGATCGAGCGAACGACGCTGAATTAGAGAGAGAGAGAGAGAGAGAGAGAGGGGGAGGGAGAGAGAAAAAAAGACTGGCACCGTCGATATACAAGCTGCGTTCTCGGCAGGTACGCAGCAAAGTGCAAATATACGCGGCGTTCACGGCCGGGGACTCGCCGAGCGCGCGGACGATCGCCGAGAGCATGATCGGCGAGGCTCCTCGGCGCCGTGCATCCTCCAGCGGTATATTTACTGCGGGACGACATGCACGGAGGGGGGAGGGGGGGGGGGTACCGAACGTCGGGCCTAACAAAGAGCGATAGTTTTAGCAACGCACACGCCGAGCGGGCGATTGCGGGGGGCCGCGAACGCGAGCGAAGCGATCGGCGACGCTCCGCGCGCACGGCGGACGATTTTACGCGCCGGCGGCGCGTGCTGCGCGCGTAAAATAGCAGAAATGCACAACTTACGTTTTGAAGTTGTCGACCAGGGCCATCTGATGGGTCTTGGGACGATGGTAAACGCGGTAATAGAGACGCTAACGCGACGGAGAAATTGGCCCGCATGCGCACCAACGCCGGCCGCAGCAGACGCTCCCGCGCCCCGGTCCTGCGCACTGCCGCGCCGCACCTGCACCTCCCGCACCGTCGGCGCACGGCTTTCCGCCTACGGGAACGCAAAGTTTACACCGTTTACACGAGTGCCGCCTTCTCGCTCGCTGGACGTTGAAAAAGGACGGTCTGACGCTCGCCGTTGATTTGCGCCGCTAATTCGAAGGCGCCAGTTCTCTCCTCTTCAAAACTCTTTTTCTCCAACGAGAACGGCGGCGCCTCGCGTTACACCTCGTTCAGGAGAGTACGCAGCTCGCCTTGTGGTCACATGACCCACGCGAATGCGAGACGACAATTTTTCGCTCGCACGCGAGAAACGCGATAAACGAACGGATAGGCTCTGCCGTAACGTTAATATTAACGGTTCGATCGCGTTTAATTGATCGCTGACCGGAGCAATGGCGAGAGGTGAAGCAGCTTATTTAGCGCCCTTTGCCGACAAGTGCACACGTGTCTGCACGGTGGTCACGTGATGTGCACGCATCGAGCAGATACATACCTGTACCACGAAAGTCTCGTGCGAGACTTGTGCTCCACTTTGTTGGAATTGATCGAAAATGCGTCCCGGCAGGCAATTCACTCTCGTACGCGTTGCCTCGAGATATAATACGCCGCTCAGACGCCCGTGCCGGGCTACTGGAACATTAGTGGACCAAAGTTCCTAACATGAGATAGCGGGGTCTCCGTTCAATTAGCAAGCATCATTTGTCGGTTCCGCCATGAATTCATTGCTCTTGAAGCGATATCCGTTTAGTGGCAAATTCATTGGCTCGATCGTGTAAACGAAGAAAGAGTTGCGATTGAATTCGGATGTTGAAAACCTGCTATCTCACATTAAAAGCCCGTCTCGTAAGGCTTGTTTCCTGTTGCTACACGGGTGAAACTAGTGCAATAAATTTCAGTAAAGGCCTTTGCACGTAAAAAAGCATTAACCGTAACCGTAATTTTAGTCCATAACCTACGGACCCTACGTAATTTTAGTCCGTAACCTTCGGAATTTTACTTGGGTTGCTCCATCTGTCTGTACGTGTTGAAAACTACGATTACGGACTAAAATTACGATTAACGCTTTTTTACGTGCAAAGGCCTTACCCAATGAGAAATGATTCGTCGATCGATGTCGAAACGATGTCGAATCGACATCGATACCGTCAAATTGACGTCGATTCGACATCGTTTCGACATCGATCGACAAATCATTTCTCACTGGGTAAGACAAGTATATTAATTGTTTCTCATTCTAACTTACTGCACTAGTTCACCAGTGCAGGAACAGAAAACAAAGCTGTAACAGGGAACTTTCCTCTACACTTTCGCGATTCTTCATCGCGTAGTATGTGCTTTTTATTGGACAATAGAAGGAAGAGGAGGTTAACTGCTATTTCTGTCAGATCGACTTTCCTTTGTCACAAAATACGTCAATTGTGTCGAGAGAGGAAATTATCTAAAATCAGTAATCTCTTGTATACATTTCTAGCAATTTAGGTTAACTTCAAAGTTCAAGATACCTTTTTTAATTGCATTATTTCCATTATGCAATTTCCACTATGAGTTTTCAACCAATCACAGAGCCGTATTAGCGTCTTAAGCAACGCTTAAGATGATCTTGGAATAAGAATCGACATACATATGAATACCGGCCCAAGAAGTCTCGAGGGATAATCGCCGGTCCGACATCAACAAGCTTCCCCGATTGTCCGCGAGGGCGCGTCCGAGTGCGAGATCTCCTCGGGGCAGTGACGAGCGGCCGTCTCGCCGCGACGCAGTCTATGGTCTCGCGCAATGGCGTAGGAGCGTCCGATCGGCGTTCGGCGTGTTTTGCGGTATCAGCTGATGGACTTGATGAACTCTTCCGCGTTGTAAAAAGAGAAAAAACCCCCCCGAGAGAAAACACAAGTGCCGCCGTGGAGCTCGGACCGTGGCAGTAAGTTGAGCCGCGTCGTCGACGTGATATGCCGACGCGCGACATCGTCACCGAAGTTACGGCGCCGGGGCAGATCTTTCCGCTGTAACGGCTCGCCCGTCTCCGCGCTGGTCCGCTGTCACCGTGGGCTTGTGTTTTCACCTGGTAGGTCCAGCCTGTAGCCTCCCCCGCGAAGGCAGTGTCGCGACGCGTGTCGTTCCATGTCGTTACGTGACGTCGCGTGCCGCCGCACGGCCGTGCCCGTGTAACGCACCACGTTGGCGATGCTGCCGTCGAGAAATCGTAAAACTGAATAATCCACGAACCTGCTTCCCTAATTCGATAATCTCGCTGATCTGTTAAACTGCGTTTGCAGACTCGCTCGTCGAGAGAGAGAGAGGGGCAAAGAGGGAGAGAGCCCGTGTGAGAGGGTGACGGCGAGGGAGGGGAAGAAGAGGAGGTGGAGGAGGAGGAGGAGGAGAAGAGAGAGAGAGAGAGAGATAGGGCGAGAGGTGAGGTGCAGTGTTATCGTAAATAAACACGAGTCGCGTACCTTCTTCACATGATGCGGTTCGCGGGTTATTGCCGTTCGTTATTTTAAAGCCAGCGGAGAGCGCGACGCGACGTCCTCGGTTGCATCATCGGGCTGCCGTCGCGGATAATCGAATTAACGATCGGCGAAGCGTTAAACCGGAGTAACGCGGCGATGCTGGTAACGCACAGGTTTTCACGTTACTCGCGTACCCGTGGCTAACGTTTTACACGTACTTTGACCCGGCAAGTTATTTTTAAGTCAATGTCTGCGCTGCCCCGGGTCTCCATATTGTCTGTTAATGTTTGAAAAATACACTGTGAATAACTAATGAAACGGCTGGCCGGCGTTGCACAAACCGTACGAGATATTCCGGTAATAATCCTGCAGCCTACCTCACCGTGTGGTCCATTCCACCTCAACTGGAACCAATTCTGAGTCAGTTTTCTTGCGTATGTTATATAAAATGTGATATGCAAGATATATATATATATATACATATATGTCTTCTATTATGACATGGGATCCTAATATGAGACAGCAGGATCTCTGTTAAATTAAGTCCTCCTTAGTTGATTCCACCATGAATTTATGCAATAAATTCATGGTGGAATGTAAGAGATGTAAGAGACGCAAGCATATTTTAAGTGTTTTTGTGCACCGAGAGAGCGAAAGAGTAAAATCTTTACTTGAAAAAAAAACCCGGATATATTGCCATGAAAAAGAAATAAAGTCCGAGTACTTTTCGAAGTATATTTGTTAGAGTAAGGCCTGGTTTTACTAGACGTCGCTTAACTTTAATCTTGGATTAATTCATGTTTGTCTCTTTCTAAAGTAACAGTTGAAAAGAGACGACGAATTAAGCTAAGCTTAAAGTTAAACAACGTTTGTGAAACCGGACATGAGTAATACACTTGTAAAATGTATTTTGTGTGCTACTTGAGTCTGAAGGAATACGAATTTAGGAAGCGCCTTCCAAACTTGTAGTAGACTTGAATGAGACCGCGAGATGCAATAGATTGCGTAATGAAAGACGCAGAAATCGAGCAGGGTCTAATTATCAACGATAACAAGCGGCCGATTGTACGAGAGACAATATTCAAAGATGGACGAGGTCTCCAGCAGCAGAATCCCATTCTACATAACTCAATTTGCCCAAGAGATTTGCTATTCGTTAATCGTAAACTACCCGCGTCTGGTTTAATCTCAATTTTGATCGACAACCGGTAAAGATCTTAGTCTTCAACAATATTGCGAATATTTCAGCTTATAGATAATTACTGTAAAAGGATAAGTTTAATATCTCCGGCTCAAAATATTGAACTTTTTTCGTCGCGCTTATCTTATCATAAAAATGAGATAGAGAAGTTTTATTTCCTTCGAAGATTGCTGTTGACTAGAGTTAAATTCTTGTATTAAACATTCAAAAGACTTTGTTTAGGTAATAAGCAGCATTGAGGAAAATTTAAGTGATCTAATATTATAAATATATTGTACGTACACTTGCTAACTCGTACTAGTTTAAATATCTTCTTTTAAGTTTGCGTACGAGCTTACACCTTTTATTCAATTTTCATTTTGCACTGATTGGATTTGTTATAGACTATTCAATATCAAGGGACGTGGCATCTCGTGCCGAGCGACACGAATCTAGGTAAACATGGGAGGAGCTGTAAGCTGCGGGCAAGACAACGATGAATTAGTGGATAATTTAATGGGATCGGGATATATCAGGACGAAGAAGGTGGAGAAAGTTTTTAGAGCTATAGACAGAGCAGACTACGTGCTATCTGCCTTCCGGGAGGGCGCTTACAAGGACCTAGCTTGGAAACATGGAAATATACATTTATCAGCTCCCTGTATATATAGCGAAGTGTTGGAAGGACTTAGTTTAGAACCTGGTTTAAGCTTCCTGAACCTCGGCTCGGGAACTGGCTACCTCAGCACAATGGCGGGACTGTTGCTAAGTAAGGAAATTGCCGTCTCAAAACGTTAACGTCGCAAATGTGTAATATTCTTCGTGTCCTTTCCAGAGCAACATGGCGTGAATCACGGTATCGAGCTACACGAAGATTGTTTAAGATACGCGTACGAAAGACTGGAGGAGTTTAAGCAAACGTCATTGGCTTTAAATGAGTTCGATTTCTGCGAACCTGTGTTTATACAAGGTGAAACAATTTTCAATATTCAGGGAGCATTTATCTTCTATGGCTCGACGGACCTAAAGAGATCCTTGTCCTCGTAGAGAATCGCCCCCCAACTGTCACGATCCCCAGCCACGGATTTCCAGTTTCTTAGCCTCAATAGTTTTAAGTTATCCATGACTGTATTCCACCAACGGTTTCTTGGTCTGCTCCTAGGCCGTCCACTGTATATATATCTCTGAACAGTATCCTGCACGGATTTTGCTCCTCCATTCTGCTCACATGTCCCAGCCGTCTCAGTCTGCCGTTTCCGATGTGTGCTATAAATTTCATTTCATTATTCCTGGTTCGTAACCATTTCCGTCTCCGTTTAGTCTGTCCATTCCGAGGCTTCTGCTAATAGTGTTTTTGCGAGATAGAGTCGGCTCCCTCTCTTTTTGTCTCCATTTTTTTCCACTGGGTTATTCTTGGTCTCCAAAATGATTAGTAGCGCAACCACGTAGAGGTACTCTGGGAAAAAAAAGACAGTTGTAACCCATTTTGGGGCCCACCATTAGTAATCGAATTATTTGGATTGTTCGTTACTCTACTCTGGGAAAAATTTGGACCGTTTTTTGATGTAGTTAAGTAACTTAACATTTCGGTTATTGCCACTTAAGTGAAAATTATCTTTGCGTTACTGAAGATCGACAGAACTAATTGAGAGAATTGATTAGTATTACTTTAATATCTTGGATATAGATAGAACAGCTAATTGTGATTTTTAGTTACGCGGGATAAAATTCGTAAAAGATTAGAGTTACGAACAATCTAAATAATTCGATTACTAATTGTGGGCCCCAAAATGGGTTGTGACTGACTTTTTTTTCCCAGAGTAGAGGGGAGATGGGATATGATAGGTGAGGGGTGTCATTTTGGTAGATCCACCATCACGTTCCACATCACTATCCCGGCAGAGCCATTTAGGAAGCATTGACAATGGATTTATGCCAAACGTACTAATCGTGATAACATGCCCAACAGGGAATTGTCTTAGCATCATACCCGGCAGGCAGTACGACAGAGTGTACTGTGGCGCGGCGTGTCCCGAAAGCCACGAGGCATTTATTAAGCAATTCGTGCGCGTTGGAGGTATACTGGTGATGCCTTACAAAGAGCAACTGCTACGTATGCAAAGAGTGGATGAGAACACATGGCTGCAGAACACGATGCTTCCCGTATCCTTCGCGAGTCTAGTCGTACCTCCGTCCTCGGAACACAATTTGTTTCACCTGCGTACGTATGGCTCGTAAACACGAGTGATTTTCATTCGCTCGACAGAACGATCTTACCGATTGACGCCATCGGAATTCTGTATTGCAGCGGAGTACAATCCCTTGCCCCTGCAAGAGCTGTGTCGCGGCAAGATCCGCCATCGTCTACGTCACATTATTTGGTGCGAGCACCCCGAGCTCGAGACGGTGAAGCCTGTGTTGCCGGGATATCATCATGGGCCGACCGCGCAGCAGCGTACCCTCCAGCGTTTCGTGATACCAATTTTCGAAGAGTCCGACGAGGCTTTAACCGACGACGAGGAGGAGATTACCGGGCGTGCGCGTTTCCTGTTGAACGCGCGTCTCGCCGACGCTCATCCTGGAGAAGCTATCACAACGAGCTTGCAACTGGTGCGAGCGGTTATACAACCGAATCAGAACAGCGAGGATAGCGAGGAGATTCAGCGGGTCCCGAGCGCCCACGAGAGTACCCGGGATATAGGCGTGAACACGGATTTCCCCGTCCGTCAGCAGAGACGGAGGTCCGCCGCGAAAAACGCCGCCCCGAGTGCGACGAGCACGGACGAGACGGCGAGCGCGGGCCACAGTTCCTCCGTCGCCACGGACACGAACGACAACAACAACGGGGCGGAGGAGCGGGGCAAGCGGGACGCGGAGAGGTCCAGCGTGGCCGCGTACTCCAACATGAGCGACAGCGACAGCGACAGCGACGCCGAGCAGGAGAGCGTCTTCGTGCAGCGCAAGAAGATCGCGAAGCGCGAGAAAACGGACAGCGGCATAGTCGACGACGCTAACTTCAGCAACGACGAGAGCAGCTCGAGCTCCAACTCAAACACCAATCACTCTGACTCGGATATCACCGACACCACGGACGCGGGCGACGCGATGGACGTGGATCTGCCAGAGATTGCGATTTACAAAACGTGCGGCAACACGTATTCCTCCCGCACGTCGAGAGGCTCTAACACTGGCAAGGACGCAAACGTCGCGCACTACGTCGACAGCAACGCGTTCGCCGTTTACATGAGGGAAAAAATAGAACAGTTACCGTTGCCTTTCTCGATAAAGCAGTACATGAATTATAACCGGAAATTATAAGCGAGAATCACGTTATTATTATTCTTATTTAAAGAAATACATAACTTTTTATCACGCAACGATCTTACGTTGGGTTTCTCTCTTTCTTTCTTTCTCTAACTCGCGCGTTTGTTCGGACTTGCGTAATTCGTGCGAGTGTTCTAGGTCCCCCGAGTGATGTTTTCAAGATGAACTTGTCTCGCGTTTTGCAGCGCTATTTAACCGTCGCTGATATACCTTATTGCGGTCTGTAGATAACGATGAATCATTGACATACGACCTTTTTGCCAGTGCGTTATCTATCGTTCCTACATTCCTTCGCAATCTCCTCATTACTTGGACGTAATGAGTAGTAACAAGGTATATAAAACTGTACATGTATAATTGGGATATCTAGGGATGAGATATTGTAAAGATTAAAGTCTCGTAATTTCATATATATATGATCTTTCATTTATAGTATCGCTCCTGTAAAATGTCGCTAGTGACCCTTGATCGGCTCCCTGTGACTTCTGGCTGTTCCCCAAATTGAAAAATCCTCTCGAGGGAAAAAGATTCGATAACGTGCAGGAAATAAAAAGGAACGCGACAAAGCGGCTGTTAGCTATTCCGAAGACTAAATATAAGGAGTGTTTCCGATAGTGGAAGGATCACTGGAAGAAGGTTTTAGCTTCCAAAGGGGAGTACTTTGAAGAGGACACCGTCGCCATTGATCAGATTTAGCTCTTTCTCCCGCTGCAGCACAAGGTCTGATACTTTCCGGACAGACTGCATTGACAGGGAAATTAACAAGTGTGGCCAGCTGTGGTCGAATAGAATTTGGAATAATATCTACGTTTAAAAATTTTGCGCAAGTTGCTAAATTGTACGTTGTCGACCATCTTTTTAAGCGTTTCGACTTGCTTATATAAAATAGAATGTTTCTAGACGCAAAGACGTTGTAGATTAGGTTTCAGTGAGCTCTATAACATCCTGGAGTAAGAGATCCTGTTCTCTCTCGAGAAGTGCTGTTGGGTGAATCTTTACTATGTGATGGTCGATAATCTTCTATCTCACCCCTGAAAGATGGACCAATCGGATAGTAGACAAAGAGACAGAGATTCACCCAACAGCACCTCTCCCTCGACGACGAGAACAATAGGAAACAAGACCACTCGCTCCGGCGTATTATATAGCTCACTGGTCCACGTTGTTTCGTAATCGACGGCGCCAAGATTTGAATCGCTCGCACCGAACTTGTCCCCCTCGCGTCCTGGCAAAGTTACCAATGCTCCCGCGCCAGCGCGCGATTAATCCACGCGGGGGTGCCTGGGGGTGGACGCGCGCGCGGAAGAGGAGAAGGAGGAGGCTGACGGTCGCAGGGTATCCCGGGTGATAAACGGCGCGGGAGCTCCCCAGTGTCCGGGCGCGCGACCTTGGTCGCAAGGTCGTGCCCAAGTTCCATACGTCGAGGTGTCTCGCCGCGACACTGTCTCGCGTTCCTCCGCGTTTCGCGCGAGTCTCCCGACAATTTAGTCGATCGGGAGATGCGTCGGGCATCCCCCTCTCCCTCTCTCGCCCCCGAGGTCCGCGCTTTTGCGCGGTATTCGGCTCGCGGGTGAGCGCGACGTTTCTGGCTGCTGCGAGGGCGGGATGGCGACGTCGACGACGTCGTCGCGCCCGGAAGAGCCCCATTGACGCGGCGGAAGGTCGATTGAGCGGCGACTGGGACGACTAGGGTGGCTTCGCTCGGGGTAGTTTCGCGATTACGCCCCGCTCGAGCCGCGGACGAGGTGAGAGAGATGTCGCGTTGACGTATGTGTTTACTACGCCGTTGACACGTCGTTCAGGGTGCCCGTGCGTTTCTTCGGTTCTGAGGCTTGGTTGCACGACCGTCGCGTAATTTTAATTGTAACTCAACTCGCCCCTCGTTTCTTTCCGTTTCTCGGAGAAAGAGACAAAGGGTGAATTAAGCCAGGGTTAAAGTTAAGCGACGTTTGGTGAGACCGGGCCTCAGGATAATTCACGCTTTTAGCATTTTCACTATATTGTAAGGTATAGAATTGATAAGAAGAGGCTCCAAAGAAGATAAAGAATCATTGTGGCAAGGCCAGTGTGAGCCAATAAGCGCGGAATACAGTGCTTGGTTTAAACGTGGAAAGTAATGTTCTTTTCATTCAAGCTCGTTTCGACTCGTATTCCAATTCAGTGATCTGAGACAAAGCTACAAGAGAAATTTAAAAATCACAATAAAAAAATATAGAACTGACCTCCAGGTGAATCAGCGTAATATCTTTTAGGCTTAAGTCTACGTTGTTTGATTATTACTGCACGCACAGATTTAAATGCAATGTATTTCATCGAATCTTGTAAATTTCAGTTCAAGTTCAGCTGTTATTTGAAGATCAGTCGGACCACTCACTTACACGACTCCACGATTTAGTTACAAGTAAAACGGAAGAAATGCCAGGCAGTTTCGTTCCTAATATTCGTTCCTGGTTGCATATTTTTTCCAAAAGAAACCCAAAGAAATTCGCTACTTTTTAAGAATAAATGATATATAAATTTTTAAGATTATACAAGTATTTATATATAAATTTAATGAATAGAAAAAAGAATTGTTAGACCGTCGAATGGACGTGTCTTCGAGTATAGTTCTCCGGCCTAATGTACACCAATTCTTTTCTCTGTTAATTAACTACCGGCGATTTACACTCTTTCGTGGAAATTTAATGAACGTCACGTGCAGTATTGCTCCGACTATGAGATAAGATAGTCGCAGGAAACTCTCTTCTTCAGAGGCTCCTGTATAAGAAGATAAATGTGTAGTCTCACCTGCGAATATTCGTCAACATCGATCCCAACGTCTCCACGTACCTCGCGTTTCTCTAATGTCGTTATTTCTTTTTCGGACAGATTCGAAGATGTGGGCGACCGTGGCGGGCGTTTCTCTCCTTCTGTACCTCCTCTGCGCGAACCTGCCGGGTGTCGCCGTGAACGCGGACGCCCTTGACTGCGGCGGCCACTTGGCGGGCGCCCGGGGCGTCGTGCACACGCCGAACTTCCCCGGGCCGTTTCCGGTCCCGATCAAGTGTCGCTGGGTGATCGACGTGTCCGACATCCCGTCGACCAACAGCTCCATCGTCGTCTACCTGACGCAGCTCTACGTCTACAAGGGGCTGCGCTTCACCGAGTACGCGTACTACGAATCCGAGACCATGAACTTCGGGGCGGCCCTGGTTAAGGAGGTGACCGAGGGCAACGTCTTCGAGTATCGGCGCCTGAGGACGTTCCGGCCGTTCCTGGTGGTCGAGTTCGAGCTCGATCGGCTCGAGGGCAATCACGCCAGGGTGCTCGACGACCTGCTCGACGTGTACGGATTCAACGTGACGTACGAGATGACCGAGGAACACCCGAATCCCGACTCCTGCACCATACGCGACTGCTCCTTCGCGGGCAACTGCCTCGTCTCTGCGGACTACACGTGAGCGTCCGGACAGCCAAGTCCGTCGGGGACGGATTTTGATATGTCCGCTGCAGATCTTATCGATTAAACGCCAGCAGAAATACGACAGTCCGTTGACAAAGTATAATGGCATATTGTTTGCGGGAACTGAGCGAAATCTGCCATTTCGCGACTATTCAAATGGTGTGTGCTCCATTTAAATATTTACGAGACGACAGATTTCGTCCGGTTTCTGCATATCCGGATAATCCGCCGTCAGATTATATCGGCGGGCTCCGTTGGCGAAACACGAGTTTGATACGGGCACAGATGAGACCGGATCTTTTGCGATATCTGAGCAAATCTGCTGCCAACCTGATGGCACACTGTAGGCAGTTTGCTTTACCGCGGGTTGTTAATTATTTATAATATGCCAATATATTATCTCGACACTCCATGCAGCCTATAAACACGTTAAAATTAAATCTTAACAAACTAAGAAATGTACAATCGTGCCTGGTTTATCACTTACGTTTATGTATCATTTTATTTGTACGTTTGTATTTGTGTTATCGAGACTGAAGAGAAACTTTTCAGACAATGCGCGAGAAAATATTCAGAAATTCAGTTAACTAGAAAGAAAGTTCAAAATAAACCGACCAGAGAGTCAATACACGTAAAATGTTAACTTGCATTGAAGAAAGACATTAGCTATTAATGAGGATGAGTCGCAAGATTTGTAATACTACGGTAACTACTTTACGTAAACACTCAATTTCTTGATGTACTTATCCTTAAAGGTAAGTTTGTAATAAGCCGAAAACACAAATATAGTTTTTACAATTAATATAATCATTTAAAATAATGTTTGCATAACTAACTGTGCAATAACTGTGAGGTGTAAACGTGTGATACTTTTATTTTAGCTACCTATTTAATTATAACCGGGATATTCTACTAATAATCTAAACAAAATAGTATATTTCATTTGTTTTGTATAAGTTGTAACAATTGCAATATTAGCGTGTAGGAAAAAACATTCTCGTTTAACAGTTGCACTTTGCTTTTAGAAAACGTATCTTGAAATTCACGGAAGCTTTCTAAAAACTTACCTTTAAGGATAAGCACACCAAGAAATTGAATATTTGCGTAAAGTAGTTGTCGTAGTATTACAAATCTTGCGACTCATCCTCATTAATAACTAGTGATCTTTCGCGATTTGCCTACTCATCCTGGAGACACGAAGTTTCTTCGATTACGGTTTTTCTTCCGCAGGTCCTTCTGGTGCGATTGTTTCGATGGCTTCAGCGAAAGGAACTGCAACGAAGGTCCGTTGTGCTTTAACGACGAACATATTCCAGTTTGCCAAAACGGTGCTACATGCAGGTACACATGCATATCAGTACTATGTATGTGCTTAAAAAAAAGATTATGCAACGAGTTAAACAAAGTATATACATACTTATAGTATATACATTAAAACTCTCTGCTTATTTATGTGAAATAAACCTTATAATAGATATCTTTGCAATGTGTAGTTGCATAATCAATGTTTAAATATTTGTATAAATATTTCATCACGAGTGATAAAATCCACCACTATGTTGGGTCCATTTACATTATTGCATAGTTGAAAAGCCGCAAGTTTTTATGCAACTTTTTTCTTGTAAAACGCAACAATTTTTAATTTACAAAGTGATTTAAGGATCTTTTAAAGAATCAAAATATTTATAAAGATGAGATTTGCATAAAAAATTATACGCCTTTTATATAAATAATTTTTTCATTACATTTAATATTTTTAATTAAAAAAATTGTTTCTAAAAGATGAAGTGACTTGCGGAATGAGTACTTAATTGATTGCGCTTATTTTTTAGACAAATTGGGGCAGAAGCGATGCGCTGTGATTGTCCGGACGGGTACGTCGGGCACAACTGCGAAACCCGTCTTTTAGACACTTCAGACACCGGTAATGTTCTACCTCGATTAGATACGTTTAATCCGTTTTATTTCGGTACGCAGATTACTCATACTTATCGTTAACGATAAGGCTGAATCAAGTACGAATAAAAGTCGTGCAAAAACACAAATCTATGGAATTTGAACGATAATTGATTAATCACATTTCTTTGTAGACTGCGCTTCGGAGAATTGTATACTACAATGTCCTGTCGACGAGCGGCAGCAGCCGTGCGCTTGCAAAGACAGCACGAAGATATACAACAGTGAGTTTCGTGCTATGTAACATATATCTAACAGTTTGCCGCAACATATCATTTTTTATGTATTTTCGAGTCCACGCAACAGCACCAGTTTCTTTTTGCTGTGGACTTTTTGTGCAATTTTGCTTTTTAAAAAATCTTATTTAACATTTGAGATTAAATAGCTTTGTAATTAAGCTGAAGCACTTAAAAATTTGGCTAAAGTATTTATGGAAATGAATCAAAGAACTGAGTCGTATATCTGAAACCTAGTTGATTAAAATTTAGCTCTTTTGCATCTTGATCAAGCTGAAATGTATATTCGACGTTGCTGAAAAAATTTGCAAACGAAAGAAAATGCGAGGAACTTTAAACGTCCTGTATAACGCATGGACTTTGTATTCGCAGATCGATCGAGGTACGAATGCAGAATCAAGTTATCGAATGTCACATCTCTCCGCACCGGCCTGATATCGCAACACGGAAGTTTGGAATCATTTGTCAGCAAGCAGGTGAGTAAAGTTTTTTTTTACTAAAAAAAATCATTTGTATTCGACAACAAACCGATATAGATTTTACTCGATGCGGTGACGCACCTCGTACAGTATTTGCGATAAGAGTGTGAAGAACACAAGAATAACCACGTATGCTTTGACGCATGTGCACTCGAGTTTATATGAAAACGAGATATGCACAAATGGATTATGTAACGAAATAGGATTCCCTGCTTTGAAAATAGCGCGAGCGCGCGCGAATAGTCGTTTCGCAGACTGTTGGAAATATCACAAAGATTTCCCCGTGCGAAACTACGTCCGCGGTTTAACGTAAGCGCCAGCACACGACACACGTGACACGTGCGTCGGTGAGCGGCGTAAAATCGAGTTGTATGCGACTATACGGCAATTATACGTCGTAATGATTTTTGTACATTTGCGTCAATTCGCGCCAAAGAATGCACGTCCTGACGGATACACTGTTACTTACAATCTAATCCGTGTAAGTGAATCCAAGGAGCAATCAATTTATGACGACTTACTGACGAAGTACAGCTTACGTTTATTTCGCAACAAGATAGAAATATCCGAATATACGTCAGAATAAAGTATCATTATAAGTATATTACCTGAAGATTAGCAGACTTATAGCATACACCTGTTTATCTCTCTCTGAAATAGTTGAGAAATTTTCAGAACGTTGTTGTGTCTGGTATAAGATTTGAAGGGCCGTGTGAAAACCAGCGTGAACATTTAACAAAGCAAATAATGTTGGTCTTTGTGTACACGAGTATTATTTAATGGCGAAAAAATTCAATATTGGAATAACTCTTGGACTTTAGAACGTTCTTTAGTCTGCATTTAATTGCCGATATGCGTCAGCCGCTCAAGTTCGGGCAAATTCCCACACGGTGGCCATGTCGTAACCGTGATTCTCTCTCCTGACGTTTTCAGGCAAGGAATATCGTCGTAGCGATCTCAATCGCTTCCTGAATTCTTCGCTCAATCCGTGCCTTCCTGGGTCTCCTAAATAAATTCGGGCGCCTCGTTCATGCGCGTCTCCCAACCAGGTCATTAAGATGCCCGCTGTTTCCTCGTCGTACAATAAATCACCCACAAAGATCACGTCGTACGGATCTTCCAGTGGCTTTTCTAACAAGTTTTCCCGCAACACCTCAATGTCCACGTTGTTCAATATCGCGTTCATCGCAATAGCTACGCAGGCAACTGAAATGAAAAAAGAAACATGTTTCTATTGTTTTAATTATTAAAAGAAAATTTTCGCTTGTATTTCATGTATTCCAACAAAGAGCTATCGGCGCGTAGTTTATTGATTGCGAGTTGGAAAAAGTGTAGAGCACAGAAATGTTATTATTGAGCTATCAAGATCCAGCCCGATCGAAAATGGCATCTTGTCCAATTATTCGTATCATATTTTAACGTTAGTACATTTCGATACAATAACGGTTTTAATATTTTATAAGAAATATTTAATACAATAATCTATAATTTTTAATTTCTATTTAGTGGCAAATATTACGGCTACATTTCATTCTTAATATTCGGCTCTGTTTTTTAGAGATGTTACAGTCTCTATATTTTAATTGCGTTTTAATAGATTTTCTCTTAATTATTACAGTACAGAACAGCACTGATATTACGTTTTGCGAGTAATTAAAAGATATTCTTTCGCAGGTAACTGACCGTATCGCACACGCAATTATCAACTACAACTCTGAGTCATACACTCTATTAATAGGTTTGCTAATGAATGTCGCTCATGTTTTTATACCTGTTACCGGAGAGAGATGTTCCCTTCGTCATTTAGTCCTAATGAATACAGAGTTCAGAAATACACGGAGTCTTTAGAAATCATCGACCAATAATTGCTATATAAAAATTATTAATATCTAAAGTTCCTTTGTTAAAGAGCCATCGATTTCGAGTCAATCTTAGAAAATGTTTCTGCCACTTTATTCAATAACTTATGTTTGACGCTCCGTAATTTACACGTTACTATTTCTTGTCACGATAAGCACTTTTACTTAGAATGTAATTAATACAATAATACAAATAGAATGTTATCTAAAAGATTCTCTCGATAATCGATACGTGCAAAGATCAAATCGCGGAGCAATCTTTATTTCTACCGTTAAACGGAATCTGAACGGAGATAATCAGGAGAAAGTGAAATTCCTGGACACTGATACTAGTATCCGTCATATTATGTCATTGAGTTTTTGTCGCTCGTGGCGATTGATTTGCTCGTGGACATTGGAACGGGGATCGGACACGTCTCCGTGTCGCGTACATACTTAACGTCCTTGACTTATATTGATTCGAGCCAAAAGCACGACGGATTAATATAAAACGCTATGCCAGCAGCGAAATAATCGCATTCCGCGAATTTTAAAGTTCACGAGAAACGTGAACTTTGTATGCTTTTCCACTGGACGCGTTTTCTCCCGAGTAACTAAAGAATAATTTCATAGAAAATATATATTGTCACACAGCAGCGCAACTGCAGTGAAAATAACAAGTTATATTAAGGAATAATGGACAAGTAAATACAGTCTTAGCTAAAGTTATGAGGCATCCACAGAATCATTATACTGTATTAAATCTAATAACAGGAAATTTTCTATTGTTTAAAGATTGTGTTCTAGAGCGTTCGTTACCCCCGTACAGTAAACAGCTTCTAAACGATAAAAGTCTTTTCTGGTATTACGTTCAGTACAGTACAACCATCATCGGTGCCTAACAATTTTGACCAAGGCTGTGTATAAATATAAGAGCATACGTCAACAAAAGGCTAAGACAAATAGACACAATAGTCGGTGTATAAAACTTATTTCTATTCTGCTTCCTACGAGCGACTAATGTACAATTTTTCGATCGCCTGTTAGAAAGTGCGATTCGCCGGTTGGCATGCTACACAGATGCAATACCAGGAATCGACAGTCTTTCTCTGACGCACGAGCAATTCCTTCCTCTTTGTACCTGCGTAAAATCCCGGGGAAACCCGTTCCGTGTCCCACATTCTAATTTCTTCGTCTGCTTGATTTTCAGGACGTGCCTCCCTCATTCGGGGCAACGTACAAAATCACAGCAACTTTTTCGAATTACCACTCGATCAATAATTTGAATCTTAATCAATAATTCGGATCTCTTCCAGAATTCGTTCTCTAGAAGAATATAATAGGAGAGGGCAATGGTGGATAGTAATAGGAAACTGCCAGAAATTTGCAAGTATCACGCGAGCTACTTCGCTTGTCCTAACGCGCAGTAGTTGCGGCGTTACGTCAAGAATTGACGACGTATCAACGACTTTCTGATAACCGATGGCGGGCTCATTCAGCGAAGAAACACGCAGACAACACGTCAGAAGGGAGGATCTCTGGTGCGAGCCAGTCATTGATAGAAACGCTCTCGAGGGCGTTAATTCTACGTATTGTGCGCAACGCCGAACGCATTAGCCACTATCAGTATTGTTTTGACTTGTACGGTACGATCGCGCGAAGGCACGGCAGGCACGCGAACCGGGCGGATGCATTTGTTTTTTTAATCATGCCCGTGGAATCCGGTCTTATCTGCGTATGGATTCGTACCGATTATCGTTGTTGCTGCGTGTACACACATCTGCTCATCGGCAGATAAACCCACACAGAGACGCGAGTGACGTCAAAGGGAGTCTTTCGAGTCCTCCTTCTGACTCCTCGGTCGCGTGTTTTTCTTTTGCCGACGTTCTCCGGATCAACGGTGTGTAACTCATGAAATCCGATCGTTACGAGGCAATAGGAGATCCCCATGGGGAATTCCTGTCGGAGACTTCCTGGGAGAAAGATTTCACGGGGACTTTATGAGTTTTTAAATTTACTAAACTTATCGGATACTTTATTTTAAACACTGAACGAATTTTAAATAACATGGGCATACATATACGAGATGCAAATTTAGCATTTAATTTCTTTACTTTTTTCTTTGTTTCTATGTTTTTTCTATTTTCCTCTTCCGTGGAAACGAGAAGAGCTTTGTTTAAGCTCGTTAATTAAGCCGAAGTCTGTATAATCCACTTGACATTACGCCATTGGCGTGTTTCCTCGCCCTCTCGATTTTGGCAATCGAGACGGGCCATTCCCCGAGCAACACGGATCTTCTTTCTCCCCTTCTACCCTCACATTCGAGGAACTTTGTGCGAAGCGAAAGTAGTTCTCTTTTCGATTTTCGTCATTTCGAAGAAACAGCGAGCAAACGCAATACCGCGTGCATGCCGTTGCGTGCAACATTGATACGCTGGTGAAAATATTTTGCTGAAAGCATCTACTACGCAATCGATGAACCGTGAAATAAAAGTTATTGAAAGATTACTGAATACATCTCAAAATGAATTCATCGATATTTATCGATTGAGGTATTTAATAATTGTCGCAGTCGTCTTTTTCGTGCAATCTTTTGTATGATTGTTAATGAATCCAACATGAATTTGTCGCATAACGTTTTCGGACGATGAAATTAATTTTTCTTTTCGTTACTTGTTACATCATTGGAAAACATTATGGTGTCAGTTTCACTGTAGTGTTAGAGTAATTGCGACATCGATGACTCTTAAGTAACTGCACGATCATTCTACTTTTTTTCAGATTAGCGGATTTATCTTATTAGAACCCTCTCACATATGGCGTTTTTTTCCACGGATATCTAGCTGATTGTGTTATCAGTTACGTTATCAGTCAAGGGTATTGCAATTAAGATCGATATGGCTTGTGTAGAGCAGACACATCGAGTCAAGTTCGCGGCTTCGTTTTACTATTATGCATCCTATGAATAACGTAAAATTATACATACATTTCCTTGATAAACGTAATGAGGTGACAATTATTATCGAAGTATAACTGATGAGACACCTGTTAATCTGAAGATAAGATTTTATTCCATATTTAAATGAAGAGTTTGCAGATTTAATTCCGAAATTATTTACATAATATATATTGGCACATTTTAATACGTTTTAAATGTCAACTCGCATTAAAATTTCTCAAAAATAGAATTATTCATTATTACTCAATATCTTTATTTAAATTAATAATCGTGTTAAGTGTACCAACCTCTGCTGATGTCATTTGCAACGGTCTTACACGTTTCGTTCGTTAATTTCGCAGCTATTGCCGTAGCCCCGCATCCTGCACCCAAATCCAGTATCCTTAATGCATCTTTTCTCGCATTTTGTGTCGCGCGCCCTAAAATCCTTTCCTTTTCATCCAGAATGAATCTCGTGAGTACTTGGCCTCCAGGCCAGTATATAGACCAAAATGGATCTTGAAATACGTTTCTCGTCAAGGAATCAAATCTTCCATCTGAATATTTATCCGTGAATGGCTCGTGATACAAGGGACAGTTCTCTGTTAGCAGGAATAATTTCAGTTCCGGAGTCAAATGATCGCGAGTCATCTCCGTGTTTCGTAAGATCGCACTCGCTACTTCGTGATGATTTTGGATGAATCTTTTAAGCGACGTTCTGTGGCTGTTACGTAGAAAATTGTCCCACGTCTCTTTTGTGCTCTTTGAAAATTGTCGTACGAAGAGGAATTTCTTCAAACACATCTTTGTTCCTGAGAATCTTCGCTATCTTTGAAACCTGCAAAGAATGGCTAATTATAGACTGTTCGTGTAATTGTAGTACGTGAGACTTTCAGGAAAATCCAAAAATATATTCTACTCCTAAGAATCAGGTCATTTTTACAATATAACAAAGAGTGAGAGAGGCATCATTGATAACTACCGTTTTTTAATAAAGACATCAGTAAGCGATTATCTTTTAAGAAATCATGATAAATTTGTTTTATTTCATGCTCGCGATAAGATTGTCAATTAGTTAACACGTTTAACTCGAGAGTCTTGAATACAGAAAATATTTTGTGCGTCATTTATTTCAAAAACTTCTACATCTTGATTTCTGGAAATTTTATTTCCCAAAAGCGTCGAACGCATTTTGGGAAATAAAATAGTATTGAAAATCTTTTCAAAATATTTCGCGTTAAACACAAATATCTTCTTATTGCACTCCAATAAGGCTGCCAGCTTTATCGACGTTGCACTTATTCCCCAGAGAAATTTGCTTTTACAGACGGCGTTCGCAAAGTACTCGCGGGAGTAATGAGGAAAAAATAGCTGCGGATAATAGCAGAATATTGTGCCCATAAATATAAAAATGGTTTCAATTATATATACCATATTTAAGACCAGATATCTATCAAAGGACAACAACCTGTTCAAGATATTTGGGATTTCCCCCGATTCTCGGGATTGTAAAATATCTCATTTATCAATCAAAGATACCGAAAATAAACGTCTTTTATTTCTTTGACCAACAAATATTTTGTTTCCAAATACGAAACACGTGCAAACTTTTAGAAATCCATCTGATTTACATTGTTTTACCGCCATATAATTATTATAATGCTTTCAATAGAAAAATATCTTTAGAAAGACAAAGAGAATTCTTGAATAAAATGAGTCATTGAAAAGAGTGACATTTAGTGACCGAAGCGTCTGATATGCAATTTTTGTGCTTACAACTATCTATTAAAATATAAGATACCCACATCTAGTGTCGACTTTCATTGCTTGATTACATTATATTTTTTGTTTGGTTGTTAAAAGCTTTTATTAATTTTTTATTGTATGTCTTTATCTCGAAATTGGTCTAGATCAATTAATTTAAACATACGCCACTTATTTACATGATACATCTATACGATGTAGCATAATTTATTAACTTTTAAGAACAATTTCCTCCGATGCAAATTATTTTTCCACATTAATTACGGAAACGGCCTCTCAACTGATGCAATCTACGATATAATCTAGTTATATCACCAAAATTGCGCGTTTGTTGCGCAATATGCATTATGCATTCTCTCTATCTTCTCGAGCGGCAATATTAGCAGATGCAATTATACTCGTTAATACAAACAGGATGACCCTTGCAACGAAATGGTTACGAAAGCAAACCTTTGGATTTCTGCAATTTTTATCAAAATAGATCGAAATAGGGGCGGAATTCATATAATCATCTCTCTGGCATTATTGCTATATGGAATTATATTTAGTGTTTGGTTACTCTCCGACGTGTTAAACAGTTTAAACGAACGTGTATCAACGTCACGTCGCGATATCATTTTTACACCTTTTTTCAAGTGCTTGATAATGAACGTTTTTACAATCATTATTTCAGTAATATCTTCCTTTTGCGGGATCTTGAGAAACAAATTTTGTTGCACAAGCAACAAAATACCTTTTTAACATTTGTTTTTCAAGATTCCGCAAAAGAAATGTATTACTGAAATAATAATTGTAAGTCGTACTTGAAAAAATTTATCTCATTTTTATTTTGTTCTAAATTATATATAATTTTTTAGGCTACAATGGGAGTTTGCGTTACAAAATTAACGCCGCGTGGCGCATTCGTCAGGAGGTCTCCCGCTCGATGTGTACCATCGCATATGGATTTTGTTAATCCTTTCTGTTATCGCGGAAATTGAACGGCTGATGAAACACGCACGTCGATGGGACAAAGCATCCGTAACTTGCATCATCTTCGCTAAATGTATATATGCATATATATGTATACCATTAATAAAACGAGACGTACGTACAATACAATCGATTCGAAGGTGGCACGCGTGGTCATCGCGGGTCGTCTATATCAAAAAGAAGTTTATTGACCGATATAGTCGCAACGGTCGATCAACGTGGTTGCTCCCGGTCAGGTGTTTACGGATGATGAAACGAGATATTGATACTAGATACGTGTATGATGCAAAAGGCAAGAGTTTTCACAGGCAGGTGCTTACGGCTCCTTTCAAGTACACGCACAAAGTAATTCAAAGTTGTTTTAATGAGCAATCAAATTACGAAAGTGTATTAAAACGCTCTGTATTTTCAGACTTGAGTTGTCCTTGCCTGGCGAACCTTTTAGTTCTCGATGAACTTCGTTAGAAGGCGCAGTGTCATCGTGACGATTTACATGCGCAAGTGTCGTAGCTGGAGTCGGACGTAACGATGAGATCGCTAGATAATCCGTATAAATTGATGCGAAGCGTCACCCCGACCTCAACGCTGTCTCTCGCCGTCGATGGAAATTGTTTGCGCTGCCACTAAGTAATTATGTTTTCTAACGCGGCTGCTTCCCGGTAAATTCCGTTGAAATTTTTATTTCTCGCTGAAATTCAACGAGTATAATCAATTGCACACCCAGTGGAGAAATGATTCGTCGAAACGATGTCGAATCGGCATCGACACTGTCAAATTGATGTCGACGTCGATTCGGTCATTAATTTGACGGTGTCGACGTTGGTCCGACATCGTTTCGACATCGATCGACGAGTCATTTCTCGCTGGGTATCATTTAAATCTGCTTGGACGTAATTATTGATATATGTGGAGCGATATTCTCGTGTCGTTAATAAATATTTAGCATTCGTTGAGCCATCGGGATTAACGCTGTGGTTTTTCCATTACAAATTAATTAATGATTGAAGCTATGAGGTAAAAAGCGACATTATTCAAACGGTGCTTTTACACAATTCTGTGGGAGATGTTACTGTAAAGATATCTATTTTTATTTACTGTGGTTTTACCACATGTTATTCATAATCAAAGAGTAATTAAGTATACAGGAAAGTACAGAAACAGACTCGCTTGTACTCAACCGACTTTTCAGCGAATCGTTTAAAAGTTACACACGCAAACATATGCAAAGATCGAAATTACATTTGTAGTTATTTATCGATCGGTATGCAAATAATATATAATGTTCTCATGGCGTTAAAATGAATGATGCATACGAGACTCTCTATACATTGTGAGTCAGCTTATTTCCATATCAGCGCTCAGATATTTGCCATTGTTAATTATCTTGTGAAATTCTTTAGCAGATCAAATTATTCCTTCTTTATTGCTCAATCAAATTTTAATTTGCGTGGCGTGTTTATATGTGTCTTTCTTTTTCCGCAACTTCCATATAAGTTTGACATTTGCTATTCAATTCGTTATTTTTGTATGAATGCTAATCGTGTCGCCTTTTAACTGAAAATGTTTATCTATTTCTGTCTTTATTGTTTTAAGATAAGATCTCCCGGTTTCGCATATGTTTGTACTAAATTATCGTTCTTGTTACACAATTTTGTTATTTTCTGATAAAAAAATGTTCGTGTAAAAACATGTATAAATATATAAAAATATATTTAAAATATGTCTACATGTTTTCTTTCTCTCGTATAATCTCTGTTCTTACATACAGGAAGAATAAGTAAGAGTAATAATTAAAAAACAATTAAGAAAATGGTTTTATTGTTTGTTTTTTGTAAATTACCTTGCAATTAATCTTGTTATTTTTCCTGTCTGTAAGTACAAAAAAAAAGGAAACATGTGAACATATTTTGTATACTATTAGAGGAAAGTCCCCTATTATGAGATAAATTTTTAATACGAGATACCGGGTGTTCAATATCCCATTTTACAATTTTCTTTCCAACAAGCACGATCTAACGATAAAATTTTCACCGAACAGATTTCGCGCAAAGGGCAATAAATTCGCGATGGAACAGATGATGCTTAATAATTTGACAGAAGTTATCTCACATTAGGAGCATATTTCATAATAGGGCACGCCTCTATATACGTATATTCATTGTATATTTGTGTATATATTTATATTGAAAAACATTTTATCGGGTCCCTTAAATTATTAATCTCTTTCTCGTCAAATTCTATTTTTCCGTCTTATATTCTCAGAGAGCTTGTGTTCTAGGATACGAATGCGCTTGCTATTCCACTCTCTCTGAGAAATGCGGCGCACAGGATATAACTCTGTTAGCGTGGCCTTTTTCCTCGGGTTTCCCGGTAAACCCCGCCGCGCCGGGTGTGCGTATCGATAAAGAGCCCCGGTTAGGTACATACCCGAGCGACGGAATATCCGCGGCACCGTGGAGGGGACGGCGATGACGAGCGGGAGAGCCGTCTCTATAAGAGCCGCGCGCACCGCGCTTGCGAGGCCATACCGTCGTAGTCGCAAGTGCTCGGAGGCTCGTGAGGAGATAATCGCTCTGCGAGAAGCGTTACGCGAGTGTTGCGCGAGTTTGCGTCAGAGCGAAGAGTTGAGTGAAAGCTAAGACGAGGGAGAGACCGGCGACACAAGTGATTCGGGCTCAGCTGCAAAACCGGCCCACGAGGACGCTGAAAATTCGTCCGACGGACGTGTCCGAGCCGAGCACGAGAATTCCCACGTTCAGTGAGATTTGCAGAAGAGGCGCATTGAGGATTGAACGGTCGAACGAGAAAGTGGAGACCGATATGACTCGCTGCCAGGAACCCCAGTCTCACCACGCGCAGGCCACGATGACCGACAGGTAGCTATCGCGATAAAAAGAAATGGGATCACGGGATCTCCACGTGGCTCAGGCGCGACGCTCTTGAGGGAGTAGCACGATTGGTTCTCTCAGCGGTGATAAAGAAATGCTTGGTCACGACGAGGTAATTTCGACTTATCTCCGATTTCTCTCCGCTTGCTCGTTCCGATGAAATTGTGCTTTATTGTGCAACATAGAATTTATTTTGCCGGAGATAAAATTCCGAGGAGAGGCACGTATCTCGCTTATCTCTTCGCTTCGCGGAAATCAATGTTCTCTATCTGAAAACTCACGGAAGGGTATCTTCAATTATTTTTCAATATCTTTAGCACGTCGCGGAAAAATTGTCCCGTCAATTGCGATTCGAAAGTTACAGCCGTCTTCCGCGTATAGATTACCGCGTCATAGTGATTCGCGAAACTCGTGGTAATTCCAAGTATTGCTCTACACGCTGTGTCGCGCCGGCTTACATAACGGAGCGACGCGCAGATGATTGATCGAAGAATGACTTACAGCGGGAAATCGTCGTGGTTCGAGGAGCCGCGCTGCTACGGGAACACCGTCACATGCGGCATGCTGCCGACCCTCCGAGAGCTGGCCTCCAGAGGGTGCAACAGCCGCGGCAGCGTCTGCCTTGTGCCCTTCGACGTGGAGATGGACGCGGCCAGCCACCTTCAGATGACACTGCTCGAGGCTTACTGCCGGGAGATCGGCATTGAAGTGCTGAGCGTGTCCAAGGAGACTATAATGCTCCACCTCTGCCCGGGTAGCACGGACCTGTCCTGCGTCCTCATAAGCAGCAACGACTCATATTTTCCGAAATTGCCCAAGTTGCCAAAGTGAACTTCGGAGACCCATCCTTGAGAGCTGAAGCTAAACAGACCGGATTTACGCGCGGTCTATCACCAAGCCGAAGTGCAACTTGCCCGGAGCTCTCCGCGTCGGGGGAGATCCTCCACGCGAATGACGGGGGGGAAGTTTTAACCGAGTCATTGCCGACGATTTGTCCTGTGTGTCTCACCAGCGAGGCTGCCAGTAATGGACATTTTACGTTGAAACACGTTGTATAGGCGAGATCACTTCGATCCGACTCGCCAAGCGAATTTTAGCTGTCTTTGTACAACGCTTTCTGTACTCTTCTTCAATTCCCTTTCTTTCTCTCCTTTTCGTCGACGAGTGTATTATTTAATGCAGTAAGTGCGAACACGAGACAGCTAAGGAGAGTAGATCTGTTATTGTTAGAGCAAGGATTGCGATCGAACGAGTGGGGTTTCTTTCGGAATCGCTCACTCTGTAGTCGCGGGATATGAAATATTCATTAGCGTATGTAACATATATGTATCTATGAATTGTATACACGTTTGTCACGAGGCAAACTGATCTTTGTTATGTATGCTTTATAAACATCGGCAACTGATGTCAAAGAACAATGTAAATGTATAAAACATCATTATTGATATTTATCAATAATATAATATTGTAATATATCATATGACGTAAAAACACAAGGCTCTTTTATTTCCCGTGCCTATCCTTTACATCTTATTCTACGAGGGAGATCCGGAAAGTAAAGTTATTGAAGTTGGAGGCGACTATGTTGAAAAATAGTGTACAACTGCATTACAACACCTGTAAGTTTCGTGGAAATATGTATATGCATTTTTTAATTAAAAAAAATGTAATCTTACTCTCCGGATATCCCTCGTACCTCTATCTGTACGGAATCGGATCATTCGTGCTCGCCTAAATTCATTGAAACCTTTCTCGTAGCTTGCAAAATACTTGAGGAACTCCAATATCACTTCCATGGAGGAATTAAAAATCCTGAACGTGACGTGAGTAGGTACACACTCGAAGATAAGACGTAACAGTTGTATGAAAAACGGATCGCATCTGAAATGACTTAATTTTTATATAAAGCACTTTGGACCAGTTGTTCTCTTCCTTGTAATAAATTAGAACCTAGTAAACGCCAACCAATAGTTGCATAACATGAAATATTATAGTTTTCTACTTGAAAAAAAATGTAACGTAACATGTACGTAATAGTTACGTTATTGAGTAGCAACCTATAATAATGTTACGTAACTGTTGGTTGACATTTGTTGATATTTGTGGGAATACTTGATTTCGAGGAAATTAGAAATAAAAATATGCGAGGAGGGCATATCCTTTGCGCTCAGTCGCTGGTTTACTGTATACCGTTTTCTTCAACAGGCCAACGGCCGAAGTTACTTTTCACTTTTTCGGAAATTCCGACGATGGGGATAAAATTCGCGAGTCCCTCAATCGACTCGTGCAGCGTCGACGTCTCAGCGAAATTGCACTGGAGTCCACGCACTTCACCTTCCAGCAAAAGCCCACGCTTAAGTTACAGGTAATTTATTGCAATTTATATAAAGTACAGTGAACTTTCGCTAATCCGGCCACTTGTCGTGACTATATTTTTTTAGTGGGCAAAATAGCACCCAAGTGGGGACTTATATATTTTTTAAATTCAAATTTATATTAAAAACTCATGTTAAAAACACGTATGTTTATAAATTATATGTTTTAATTACTTCGTTACCCTAAATAAAATAAAGAACTATTGATAAATTATTATATTATATTAGAATTATTTGAGATTTAAAGATCGTTTTCCACCGCCTGTCTCTAACGCTTTTAAAAACAGTCAGAGAGATTTTAAAGCTGAAGTTAAAAGTCTCAGCAAAACTAACGTTTTCGAAAGCGCAATTAATTGTTGCAAAACGCTAACAACCATTGCTTTTCAGAGTCTCCGTATTAATCAGGTGAACGATTACGAGGTTCACCTGGGAGAGCAAATTATCTTGTCGTGCGCTGCTCAAGGAAGCTATAGCATAAATTTTACTTGGTACAAAGACGGCATGTTAGTGAACACGAGTAAAGCTACGAGGTAACTCACCTATTGAAACGGTTCAGAAATTTACATTACAATAGATATCTCTCATTAGAAGCCTATCTTATAATAAGAGACTTGTCTCTGTACATCGTCACGTAGTATGGCTTTCTCGGTTTATGCATCTCGGTCTTTTGGCTGTTTTAGAGAAATCCGGATTCATCGTTTGCCGAACGACGGATCCGATGTATCCACGTCGACGTTGACGATCGAGAAAGCGACTCTGCTCGACGCCGGTCAGTATACGTGTCAGGTGGTTGACTGGGGTGTGCAGCAATGCAAAGGTATCTACATCGAGGTCAGGGATGAACCGGACGTGAAGGTGGTGCCGATGAGCGCCACTATAGAGAAAGTAAGCTGCAAAGAGATTCGTCCAGTGCGCGAATAATCTGAAATTTGTAGAAAAGAAGACGTGTATTAACACCGTCAGACGACTGTTCACAGGGCAATAATATACAGCTCACCTGCATGACCCCCAACATGCGTAACATCGGGATCGGATTCGGTTGGACGAAGAATCGCGCCTTGCTCAAATTGGAGCCCGGTCGTGCGGTCTGGGAAGATCTGTATCCAGCGGGTAGCATTTTAAAGCTCACTAATATTCAGGTAGCAAGCACGTTGATTCCTTTATTCGATTAACTCCAGGGAATTGCATGCAGGATAACGCAGAGTCCACTCCCTTTTTCTAAAGCGATCTTGCTCCTAGAATTAAAAAATATTGCATAAAATTAGTGAGGTAAACTCGACAGTGTATCTATTGGATATCAAACCAAGTAAACACCAACTGACAATTACATAACACCGATATTATAATTTCACTCAAGAATATAAACATAATGTGAGACATGTTACATTGTTGAGTAGAAAAGTATAATATTTATGTTACGTAATTGTTAGTTGGCGTTTACTGGGCTTTACTGGAAAGTGATAGATTTGGTATTTTAGAAATCTGCGATTTACACCTGCAACGTGGCGCACAAGTCCATGTCCGTGCGAGTCGAAGTCATGAATCGAACGCTAATACCGATATGCTTCAAAATGGAGTCCTGGGGTTTGCAGTGGCCAGACACTGCGCCTGGATCAGAGGCGCTGCTAGAGTGCCCTCGGTATTTCGTAGGCCGACAAGTGTCCAGGCTCTGCTCGATGAAAGACGCTACCACGCCCGAATGGCAAATACCAGATTTCTCATACTGCTTATACAAACCGTTGATTTCACCGTATAACAATGTGAGCATTTTGTTCTCTTCAGTATCTTTGTAGACGATTTGATTTATAAGGAGCCCACTTGAGATATACATATAATACATGGAACATTTTTAAATAGATGCACAAATTATGATGGAGCAAACTAGACAACGCGCTTGTAAAAATTGAGGAGTGTAACAGTATTTTTTAATATTCGATTTCAATATTTATTATAGAATACATAGGAATTTAAAAATAGTATATGTATGTAAAACAAAACAGAAAATTTTAGTAAAACCTTTAACTCTTACTGTTGAGTTTGATTCGCCGCAACTAATTAAAAATGTTCCGAATTTATTATAAAGGTGTGTGCAGTGTTGTGAAATTCGTTCTAATCTGCAGTTTCGAAGTCTGACATTGGGTTACCAGAAGACCACAAGCTCGGACACGATCCTCGCCTTTTGGGAGATCTTGCGTAAACGTGCACTGCCGCTCTATCCTGGTGAAGGCGGTGGTATAATAAGCATGTTAGCGGAAATCGAAAGTTATCAACATAGTATTGATCCACAGGCTGCATACACCTCTGCGGAGACTTTGACTCACATAATAAATCGCATATTGAGCGATGAACACTCGATCTTGTGTCAAGAGGTAAAAACGATCTAGATGCAACTTAGAAATGAGGACTAGTTTTGAATAAGAAACAGATTCAAATAACAGCGATTTTTACCTCAATTTCGAACATAGAGCTGTCATTTCACAAACAAAAGTTGTACGACGAAATATCAGCTAACTGTTACATAACATGAATATTATAATTTCCTACTTATGATCAAAATGTAACTGTTATGTACATGTGTTATGTTACATTAATATTATTGAATGTAAAATTATTATATTGATGTTGTGTAACTGCTAGTTGTTGTTTGAAACTGCTTCATATTCATCAAAAATACTCTCTTCTTCTTTATTTATCGCTAAGCTAAATTACGGCTTCCAAATTGTCTATTTTTAGAAACTATCGATGTTACTTCAGCTTACGCAACGCAATTTAATCCACTGGTCCAAACAGCTGAAAGATGCATATAAACATCTGTCTCTGTCATCCATGGTGGTCGATATTCAGCAATTGCAGTCTCAGAGTGGAGACAGTATAACGCACTCGCTTCAAATACCTTCGTCCGATTATGTGTAATCGCTTTTCGCAGAGATCTTTGAATATATTCTTCTATATTAATATGCGTTCAAAATTATGTCCAAATTTGCTTTCACTTTTTTTATACAAATGATTATTTATTTATGACAGATATCCTGATTGGTATGAGGACAAAATAGCTATACGATTATGGAAGAAGAAACAGCGCAATATAAAATCTAATAACACACTCACTGGAATCGTCATTGTGTACAAAAACATGTCACGTTTTATACCAACAGCTTACGTTAAAGAGCTCGAGTAAGTTGATTTATTTAAAAAGGAATTGAAAAATCAACAGATGATGCCTATTGATTTACAATTAGCAGAAACTCTATCTCATAATAGGGGACTTATATGTGCGTGCGTGTGTGCGCGCACGTGTGTGTGTGTGTGTGTGTGTCTATAAAGAGAAATTAAAATCAAATTATATTTCTTTAAAATGAAACCTTCCCAGTTTGTTAAAATATATAAAATATTGAACTCTTATCCTCGTAGCGACGGTACAGACTTAGAATTTCGCATCAATTCTCGAGTGATCGCCATCGCGGTGCCCTCCTTCGATGCCGACAAATATAACAAGATATGGGTCGATCTGCAAATCCGGCATTTGCGAAATCAGACGAGCTCCTGGAACACATCGTGTGGTCTGATAGATAACACTGGATCATGGGATCTCAATACTTGCATTGCAAATACGGTGTCCGGCGACGTGATGACGCATTGTTTGTGCCCTACTACGGGGACGATAGCTGTTTTCTTGACGACCCGTGCAGTAAAAGTATGTAGCTTCAATTTAAAAAACAATTTTTCACATTATATTATCATCTTACGATGGAAAAGTTCATTTATAATAAAATTTTCTATAACAATGTGAACCATCTCGTTTATGTTGCAGGTAATAGTTGCGAAAAAGGAGACCACGTTTATGATAATATTCGGATGCAGTGTCGCTCTTGTTCAATGCTTACTGTCTGTTCTGATACTAGGCATTTCGTGGTTGAAGCACAAAACCTGGCTAAATTTCTTAAAACTTCAATGCTGCTTGGCGTTGATAGGCGCGATGGCCATCTTTATTTTTGCCATCCACACACACCTTCCAGAAGTAATCATATCTTCGTTTAAATACTTAGAATATTACCCGGCGAACTAACAGTTACATAACATCAGTATCATAATTTTATACTCAATATTGTATATTCTATATTGTTAAGTAGGAAATTATAATATTGATGTTGTGTAATTATTAGTTGCTGTTTACTGTATAATTTTTATAATTTAAGACTTTTAAATTTGATACTCTATTATGAAGTAAATCTTACGTATTATAAAATTATTATCTTGCTATGAGTTCAGCAGAGACTGTCTCGGATATAATATTGCATATCTGAGGACTTTGCAAATTACAAGTTTGATCCGGTTGAAGTTTCCTCTTGCTAATTCCTCGTTGTTTCAGTCATCTTATTCGCTCGTGGCGATGGGATTGGAGGCATGTCTCCTCATAAGCATGTCTGCGCCTATCTCTGAGGCTCTAATTGTATACGCCCAGCTTACGCAGATCCAACCGAGTCAACATCTTCAGCCGACGGTGATCGCTGTGATAACTGGTACATAAAATTTTTTTCTTAGAATCTAAATGATCTTTTGAATGAATTTGTCAAACGTCATTTATGTAATTGCACGTTTCTCAGGTGTCCCGATCTTGGCTGTATTCGCAACCGAATTGACGCACAAGAGTACCGGTTGGCGACACGAATCCTGGTGGCTCATCTACGGCAGCAGCGTCTACACTATATTTGTCAGCTGCGCCACGATTATGTTTCTAGTGTTCATATTGGTTTTCATAGGGGTGCTCCACAAGGTCCACACATTAGTAAAGGAGAACGTAATGAAGAAGGAAGCTGCAGAAGCAAGGTAGGTGTGGACTCAGCCCGTAAGATTTACGGCTCTTTCACGGACCGTTCTCCTTTTGATTCAGAATACGAATATTGCACCGTGCGGCTATCATCATGTGCGGCATCATCGCCATGGAGGCATCCTCTATCTTCTATATAAATTCACCATCCATAATTTTTCACTACATCTTTGCGTCCGTATCTTTAGCTCTGGTGAGTTTCCTCGCGAGCAATAGCTACATTGACAAATGGCAGATAATATACTAAAGTAAAAGATAAAATAACGTTCGCATTCAATTCCAACGTAGTCTATCAAATCAAATGCAATTGCAATGTCAGTCAAGTTCACTTATTATTAAATATATTAAAATTATTTGCTAATCATTGATGCGCAGGGCTTCAGTATAATAATCGTATACATCGTTAACTGCGAGAATGCGATTGTCGGGTCAATGCTGCGGAGAATCAGATGGAAACGCAACACGGACGAGGAACACACATCGGAGCCCATCAAAGGTATTATAAACTTAATCTGCTTAATTAATTTTAAATATTTTTAAGACAATTATGAAAGAGCATCAGAATACGCGCTGACATTGCGAAAATATTCTTTACGTTTCCACGTTCCTTAGTGCGCTCGAAAGCTGATGCCGAGGTGGAGAACAATTCGGCGACTCCCCCGGCGCCGTCCTCGATCGTCGGCGAGCCGTATCGGGAGGTACGAGGCGTTGCCGCGGGTAGCATAGACATGCGCGAGTTCGTGTCCGAATCCTCGTCCGCCTACTCCAAGTCCTCCGTCCCCGCGACCAGCAGATTCCTGCCGGAGATCCGGATAGATCACTCGGACAACATCGACCTGGAGAACTACAGCACGAGCCCGCGCAAGTACCAGGAACCGCCGGTGTTCGCTGACCCGGCGTTCTCGACTCGCGGCGCCCGCTGCGTCAACGAGGCGGCGACCTACGGCGTCAACGAGCGCGGCGGCTTCCGTGGTGACGGCAAGATTTTCATGCCGGCGGCGAGCGTGTCCCCGGAGCCCTCGGCCAAGGTCCTCTGCAGCGCCGACGTGGAGTCGCGACTGGGCGCGATGCCGGACGTCACGCTGGCCGTGAAGAGCGACGTCGAGCTGTCGTCGCGGACGACGTCGGGCGCAGAGCCGAAGAGCCGGGAGCACGTGGTGAGCGCCATGCCCGACATCGCCAACACGAGCGAGCGCAAGCAGCCGGACGGCGAGGAGAAGACACCGGAGATCGTGGTGACGGTGGGCGGCTGCGACAGCGCGACCAACGGCATGCTGGACCGCATCTCCCACGATCTCGATTATCTGCTTAATCGCACTCACGCCAAGGAGGGTGCTTGAAACCTACCCGCAGGCTCGCGAGAAAGTATATTTATGCGACGGACAGGCGTAGGTTGTTGAATTTGTACAAAACGGACCTGCAATGTATCAGGTGCTGCAAACCAAAGTCTAAAGTATATGTATTATACTCCTTTCTTACTTCTTATACTCTCGCATGTGTGCGAGATCAGGGCGCCAGGCATCAATTGTAATCTGATTGTTGAATCGACAGTAGTCGTAAAGGTCGATCATCGTCGCGCACCATTCTCATCAGAATTTACTTTATAAATCTCCAACTTTTCGCTTACGAATTTCCGTAACATAAATAAGTGAATCACAGGTCGTTTCGTAGTTTATCTATAATAATACTCATCGATATTGCGTTTTTCCGTTATGTAACGGACATTCGTCGTGATAACGCGACGCCGCTTATTTGCTACAACATAACTCAAAAAGATTATTTGTGAAACAAGACAAATAATGAAGGCTATGAAAGTCGATATAAAATCGGATATTGAGACAATCAAATAGGAAAAATCAAGTCGGAACTTCGAAGATGAGGAAGGCTGTTAAGTTGAAATTTCAATAAAACGTGTGTTCACGAAGGTGAACAGTGAAATGACTTAACATTCGATTTTATATTGTGTAGTATTTAATTTTTGAAATATCATTTGCGTGTGACCACCTACGCTCAACTCTTATAGCCTTTTTTATTTGTTTTCATTTATATCCACGGAGTCTTAATTTTGTTTATTATTTATAAAAGATTGGTGAGAATTCGATACTTATAGGTGAAAAGCTAATATATAGCTAGATATTTTTATTCCTTTTCCAGTAAACATCAATTAACATTTTTTTTATCTACAGTTAATACAATAATTATAATTCCCTACTCAACAATATAAGTGTAACAACTCATGTAACAATTGCATTGTTGAGTAGAAAATTATAATACTGATGTTACTGTTAGTTGGTGTTTCCTGGATTACAATTAGTTACTACACTAAAGTCATAATTAAAAACGATATTACAAAGTTTTAACAATTCAAGACATTCAAACTGATTTTCCGGAGAACTTTGATTTCTTTGAGTTATGTCATTATTGTCGCAAATGTAAACGATACGAACGTATCAAGAGCTGTAAACCAAAGTCTAAAGTACATGTATTACAATCTATTTTTATTTCTCACGTCTCGCATGTCCGAGACCAGTGCGCCAGACACTAATTAGTAATCTGATGGTCGATTGTTGAATCGGTAGTAGTTGTAAAAGTCGATGTGATCATCTTCGCACTCCATTCGTCAGAATTTATAAATCTCGAAATTTTCACGCTTCATTATCAGACACTTGTATTCACGTCCATTGTATATCGTAAGGAGACTTATCGCACAAATAAATGAATAGATACGCTAAGCAGTGAGAGTACATTCAAGTCGATAGCGTTTCCGAGTTAAAGTATTTATTTATCACTGTCATCGTACAGCCCTTTCATAATATCCACGAGTCAGTCGTCGCGCTTTTTTTTCTCGTTTATAATTTGTATTATAAAGCTATACACATTCAATTTAGTTTGATAATCTACTTACATACTTAAGATCGAAGTTTATGTTGTTGTAGGTAATAGGTACCTCTAGTAGGGTTAGTCGTTTACTTAATGAGAAATGCTTCACTGAAATCAATTCGACCGAGGTATGAAATTGGAGCAGTATCTCTCTCTCTCTCTCTCTCTCTCCCTTTCTCTATCCCTCTCTCTTTCTCTCTCTCTCTCTCTCTCTCTCTCTCTCTCTCTCTCTCTCTCTCTCTCTCTTGGCCAAGCACGTGTTATAAATGCAAAAGACGTAATAAGATCTGTGTTAGTCTGTTAGCACTCGAATATACCTATATGACTAGTTTTCTGTGTCAACAGATTTTTCTTAAAAATATAAAATATTTACAAGGATTTTCTAATTTTATCGAGATTTAATAATCTTGGTTTAATCACATCAATAATACCCAAGTATAGAGTAGGGCCGTGGCTTTATCTGATTACTACCAAAATTACACTATTGAGCCAGTATTACATCGCAATCTTGTCTATAGAACTAAAAGTAAAATGAATAAGCACGCTGCTATACTTTCTCTCGCGAATATTCATATTCGCACACTTCTAGACAAGGCTTTACGATAGATTGAGTATTTTGGCGAAAGTAACAAGAGCGGTGAGAGATCGACAGACTTGTCCGAAAGAAAAATCAAGAATCCATACAATATTTAAATATTAATGGATTTTACAATAACTGTACAATGAAGAGAGTCTTTTCTTTCCTTCTTACGCATGATTGAATCAATTTTTGTCGATTTGTATGCACACGAAATAAACTTTAGTGTTACATTGTCGAAAAGCATGATATATAATTTCGGCGTATTAATTTCCATCGTTTGTAATTCTAAGAGACATTATGAGAAACGCGATACGTAACGAACTCTCGTAATTGTATCCCGATAGGTAGATTACGACAGGTAAGTATCAAATCGTAGCTTCGTATAAATATGAATCAATATCCAGCAGACCTCTAACTATCCTCTTAATTATACAATCACAAGTATTTTGGTCTTTTTACATTAGATTTATACATTCTTTCTCGCGCAATTTATCGCATACCCATATATAACGATATAACAGGTAAGGTACCTGTATAACGTAAAAGCTCTAGAATATAGAGGACCAACGAAATTCGATAACGGAAGTATTACTTCGATAGCCTAAAGTACGAAAGTAAGATATACTAAGCGGATTCCTAATTTGCAGTCGTATTCAGCGTAGAGGTGTAGCCACGGCACCCTCCCATGTTTACTTCCATTCCTCTCCCTTCCGTTTACTTAAATATAAAAATACATAGCCAGTCTATACATAAAGCGTGCAAAGTGGCACAGTGAACTGAGTTATCAGACGTCCTGGATGGTTAACTACCGCTCTCGCTGATTGTCGGCGGTTCTGCATCATCGTGAAGTTTACTCGTTTTGTTACTTGACACAGGTATACCTGAGGTTTTTGGCAGCAGGTTAGTTGCATTATCACTATTGGATGTTGTGGCGTTGCACACGGAATTGTCAAAGTGTTGCAGACATGGAAATTCCGAACCAGGCAGCAATAAAGTAGTTTGAGTAGGAAGATTAGTTAATGATACCATTCCTGGCGTTACCATTTGCTTGTTGAAGTATCTCCTCAATGCCTCCTCAATTAAATTGGCTATCTTATCACGATCGTTCTGCAACAGTCGCGTATGTCTCAAGCCGAGCCCTTCTCTCTCGTAGAGATCGGAAATCGCTCGCTGGCGACAACATCATAACTTACCTCATTAATAAATCCAAAATGTACAAGTTCCTGTGCGAGAAGCATCGAGGTGTCCATTTGGCTCACGGGACACGTCAATTGTCTATTCATTTTGTCATCCATTCGCAACAATATTGTCATCTGCACAAAATAATAATATCAATTTTAGGATTTACAAGTGACCGCAGACCACAGGATATCTCACTCAAATGTTCGATATGTGCCACTCACTAGTAATTCACTACTATCTTCTCTAGGCTTAACATTACACATCATATTAACTACTCTTCGAGACTCCACGTCCACGGGCTCGGGTGTAACCGATTTAACCGATTCTGTCACTTCGGGCGATATCGCCCTCGGTCGGACAGGCGGGGGCAATTTCGCCATAAATGCAGTCAATGGATATATTCCATACCTGGCAACGTAAAATCACTCTGGTTACCAACTTATCCGATATAAGAAAATCCGGCCCGATGTATCTCATGGCTGAGATACTCACTTTACATCTTCAACAAATTTCTCTAATTTCTCCGTAACGGGAATATCACTTAAGCGAATTTGTTGCGGAGGTATTCCTTGATACTTTATTTCGGCGACTACGGTGTCTGGTCCATATAGCCTTTGTAACACTTCGTCTGTGATTGTTTCCGAAATGTTAGCTGTAAAACAATCAATGTTATTCATCAAATCGCGCAACTTATAATCGCAGCTGTCACAACTATCCTTAAAGCTACAATATAACGTAATTATTATCTCTCAGTCGTTGTAAAAAATATAATAAATAGCGTATATATGTAGATGACAAACTTGTTTATCAACTTACTAGCCGTGTTGACTAAGGCGTGTGCTGCGAGCAACTTGAGAGAATGTACTTCAAATAGAACGGGATGAAATAGCAACTCTCTCGCACTCGGTCTGCTAAGCGGGTCCACCTGAAGACATTTACGAATAAAATCTTTTTGCTGAACATCGTCTAAAGATTCTATTGTCTTCTGGATGTTTTCTTCGGTAACAATTGTACCCGTATCACCGTTTCCCTGAATTTCCAACGCGGCCATCTCCAAAGCGCACATTCCGAACGAGTAAATATCAATGGCAGGTGTGACGGAATCTTAAAAGGAAAAGAGTAACAAATTGCTTGAGTATAGTCGAAATGCGATTTACGCTCGGCTTGCAGACAGACAGTGCACTCACTTCCATATTCAGGGGCCACAAAATGCATGTTCTTCATGTTCGTTCTACAAGTCTTGATGTGGTGATGAATTGCATCTGGGGCTACTGCAATTAGAAAGAGATTATTGCCATTTTCACTGTTCCATGCCAAGGTGAGCATCAACATAAAAATGGAATATTAATGTGAACGTATTCGACAATGTGTTAGACTTGGTTTATAGGGCAGCCACCAGACAGAATTATGTAGACATAACATATGCAAGCAAAATATACATTCTAATAGACAATCAATATGTTTTAGTTTTACACATTTACTACGCATTCCGTATGTTTGCTGCCAGAGGATGAATGACTTAAACCTCTTTAGAAAAATTGTGTTTCGGCCGAAAATTTATCCTAAAAGTAACTTGAGCCCTCGTACAATCAATAGTTTTCGCATGTACAAATGTAAAAGTGTCTCTGAAAAGAGAAGCATGTTTCTTTTTCCAAGAATACAGATACAGGTGTACAAATAAAACATAAATTCGTTATTTCAATTAAAAAAAGTAACACATATTTTTCGATTGGTTACACAGTTCTGTTATAAAGAGCCACTTTTGTCGAGTCGGAACGAGTGTGAATTTTAGGAGGTAAAATCTCTTGAAACTACGCATGAACCAAAAAGCAATGTATATATTAAAATACAATGAAAATGCGTGCGCTAGGTGATTGTGAGAAGGGCAAAGAGACACGTGAGCACTTTGCCCCTCTTAGTTAAATACAATTAATAACCAGAACAAGGTAAACATAGTGCAACGTAGTGGCACTAACATAATAAAAATAAATGTTTAATTATTTGTACATTTAATGGAACTACTTAATAATTAATATAGAAGTTGTTTACCTCTCTATGCCTAATTTACTTAGCTGGCAATAGCTGATGACAAGCTGCCAAATGATTTTTTTTTTCTTGAAACTCATCACCTTTGACCAACAACACCAATCGAAGACACCGATGTTGGTGGACTTATCCTCCATGGGTGAAAGTACGATTCGTACTTCCTCTCTCTTCAAAGGCTTTGCTGTGTTTTTTTCATTATCTAGATTAGCCTATTTGCTACAATTAAAAATGAGGACTCAAGTTACTCCTAATATGAAAAGGCAATTTAACACAATCTTTCTAATGGACTCATGTTACTAACATTATATAGCATTACAGGGAAACGCGTGTTATAATAGAGTAATAATAATACAAATAATTCTAAACACCATTAGAATTACATATAATTCGGTAGAACTGCATTCATTCTTATGTAATCGCAATCAATTCGGTTCATATACACGTATTCATACATATATATACACATGTATATATATGTTATATATATACATTTATATATATAAGCGTTACTTTCGCGCTAAAAAAATTTAACTATTTACAAATAATTAGTAGATATCACGTTTCATGTATGTATTCCTATTAAATATACATTATAATAATGCTGTTCTAAAAATATCCATTTCAATCTGATGATATACAGGGT